GAGAGAGAGAGAGAGAGAGAGAGAGAGAGAGAGAGAGAGAGAGAGAGAGAGAGAGAGAGAGAGAGAGAGAGAGAGAGAGAGAGAGCACTATAAAGGCAAAGTGAAAACACAGAAATTTAGGAATGTTGTCAGCACCATTCAAAGCAGCAGCTGCTCGATAGGAGCCATAGTATGAGTCTCTGAACCCCGACTGGAGGAAGCCAACGAACACTTGGGTAAAACCGTATAACATTGATGATCCTTCAGGTTCAGGATTCAAATCATAACCAGTATTAACCACCCTGCCTGTAAAAAAGTAGACTCCTTACGTGAGAACATGAAATGGCTCTCCAAATTCATATTATTACTGTTTTTCTTCAAATACACCTAAAAAGGCACCAAGGGCCAGACCCCGCTTCCCAACGAGTAGACTTCACTCTATTCTATGAATTTCTATCGCATACAACACGAGGTCATTATACCTGTAGCTTGCCTGAAAACTGTACCAGATACAGTCATAATGACGTCAACTGTATACTGCGGATCCAAGTACCAGGAACCAGCTGAAAAGGGAAGCAGGCTCCTTCTATCCACCAGATTTACATTGCGGAACTCACCAAGCAAAACCAATTATTCTGGTCCCGAAGGACCCTTGCCCAAAGGGACACCTGTGTTACCTGCCCCCAGTGGTCGTCCGTACTACCAAATAGATAAAAAAGGCAGAAGCAAAGACTCCCCCACATTTGCCTAACAATGAATCAGTTAATTTGCTACACTCCCTGCTATCACTTCCTTAAACACAAGGCCACATGCATCCCTCTTCAGTGTTCGTTTTATACACCGTGCAGGCTCATGCATCCTCGGTGATTAAACGACACAGATGATGAGCATATCAGGACCCAACTAGAAGACCCTGAAGAAGAAGAAGAAGAAGAAGAAGAAGAAGAAGAAGAAGAAGAAGAAGAAGAAGAGTTTTATATACCGTGCAGGCTCATGCATCCTCGGCGATTAAACGACACAGATGACGGGCATATCAGGACCCAACTACAAGAAGAAGACGAAGAAGAAGAAGAAGAAGAAGAAGAAGAAGAAGAAGAAGAAGAAGAAGAAGAGGAGGAGGAGGAGGAGGAGGAGGAGGAGGAGGAGGAGGTGCTTTAGCAACTGTTCTTCTCTTGTTGCCATCATTATCTTGCTGCTCCTGACTTCCTGCCCATGCGCATCTTCTCTGCTGAGATGACACAAGTCTCGGGCTTGCTATTCGCATAGAGCACCAATTCAGCTGCAGCTTATTGTCGCACTGGCCATGCCACGCTGCACGGATTTCTTTCATGCTTGAACCAGACACAGCCGACGGCCGCACAGCTGATGTGGCTGCCCATCAGAAACCATATTGCGGTGACAGTGGCCGCTGATGTGGCCCCCTTACTGCAGGTGCAGCCCAACATCTGCAGTACTCTGGAGAAGAACACATACTCCCCCAAGCTCTTCCAACAGCCAGTCTTCCTGTGTGCGTTTGATCTTCCGCGCAGGTGCATTCATTCTGCCAAGGCCACAGGAGCCACTCCACTCCCCTCTCTGTGCCCTCTTTTCCATTTTCCTGTTTTTCCCTTTCTTTTCCAATTTGGCAGCAGCTGAGAAGAATGTATGTATGAGGAGAACAACCACCACAGGTTCTCTGACACCTGCTACTGTCAGCAGACCGGCAGGTCTATATCTTGCCACCAATGCCATGTGCACAACATCAACCCTTATACCACCTCCTCAGCATGAGGGTGTCCCTACCTGAATTTTCAGCCATGCATCTCAGAGAAACGGACATGTTTCACTCTTTTTTGCTCTTCTAGCCTGACCATCACTTTAAGGAGAGTTTTTTTTTTCAGTTCCTCCTATCTTCCTGTTCCCCCTGTTCCCCCTGGTTTATTCCAGTTCCTCCTGGTTTGTTTCTGATCCTGCCTTGGACTGTTCTTTGGGTTCCTTGTATCTTCCTGTTCCTCCTCGTCCATTCCTGTTCCTCCTGTTCCCCCTGGTTTGTTCCAGCTCCTCCTGGTTTGTTCCCTGTCTCTTATACACATCTAGATGTGTATAAGAGACAGGCCTTGGACTGTTCTTTGGGTTCCTTGTATCTTCCTGTTCCTCCTCGTCCATTCCTGTTCCTCGTGCATTGTTCCTGATCCTCCTGGTCTGTTTGTAATCCTGTCTTGACCATCTCGAATTCGATGTGTCGACTAAGTTAGCAACAGAGAGAAGAGGAAGGAACATAACCCAATTAGAGAATCTGATTCTGACTTAGCGATTGCCTGGGCAGGCATGCCTACCTCTCCCATCTCGCTCTGTCAGAGTGTAAGCTAATCGATGACTCCAGCGTCTTGAACAGAGCCATGGACACCTGAGCAATCACTGCATTGGTAGATCATAAGGTCGAACTCCCTCTCCTCCACCGAGACCTCTGCTGCAAGACGAGGAGTACCAACGGGCCAAGCGGGGTCAAGTGGGGCCAGGTGGGGCCAAGTGGGGCCAACTGTTCTTCTTTTTTCTTTTCAAATCTCAGTTGGCACACCCATCATGACCCATGATCTGAGTTGGCACACCCATGAACTGTCGATATACAGACCTGAGTTCGAATCCAAATGGAACTAGATGAATGAAATCAAATAATTCTGATACCTGGGGGCGATGAGTTCGCCGATAACATCTCAAAGCGGTCGCCTTAAAAATAACAATAAAGAAAACAAAATGGTCATCATGACTGTGGTTGTGGCATAGTCTTCACACCTGCTGCCCGCCCTGTGTCAGATAAGAGTGCATTTATCTCTTCGTCGGTGTGATGTCCAGAAGAAGACGGAGTGCTAGACGTGTTGTTGGGCATCATCGAACCAGCTGCCCAAGCCATGGAAGCCACAAACAGTAAGCAAGACAGCAGAACCATGGATATCCGCCAATCGTGCACTTGGTCCTGAATGTACCCCACAACGGGTGGTGAGGGAACATCACCGAAGATGTGGATGGCGACAGTCCCCATGGCGATCGACAATGCTTGTTCTCTAGGTGGAACACAACCCAAACTTATGATGTTGACTGGCCCCTGGATTGCGAAGAGAAGAAACTCGCCTAACGCAATAAAAACTATGAATGCAAGTTGAGACTTCATCAAGAAGGAGATGATGCATAAGATACCTCCAAAGAAGACGGAAATCGCACAGAGACCAAAGGCCTTCGATATCGTGTTGCCAATCCTGTCCAGAAGTACACCCCCACAGAAAGTCCCAAAAATGCCCGTGAGCACGGTGTCGGCGCCGAAGACCTCATCAGCGCTAGCCATGTTGAACACGATCTTCGCAGCTCGTGGACCCCAGAAGGCGTACGCACCGATGACGGCAGTGTAGAAGGTGTAGCCGACAGCGTTTATCACGTAGACTCCGTTCGTAAGCAGCTCTTTAAGGTCTACGAGAAACGCGCCGACGCTCTTCCCACAACGCTTCACACCTTGCAGGAGGGTGGCCAAAAACGGCTTTTTCGTCGAATACCTCCTAAGCATCGGGTGTCGTACAGACATCTGCGCTCCTGCCTCCCCCTCCTCGCTGTCACCCATCGCCTGCTCACTTGAATCGAGAGCATCCGAATAGATCGTAGAGGGATCCACTGGCTTTTGCCCTCCCATCCCACTCTTGAACTGAAGGGGCTTTGCAAGGAAACCGAAAACCACAGCCGGCAACATGAAGAGGGCTTCTATGACGAATGCCATCCTCCATGAGAAGACTTGCGTTATCAGGCCTCCATAGACATAGCCCAATGCGACGCCGGCAGGGATGCACATGTAAAACATCGACAACCACATAGACTTCTTGTGTGGAGGAGCATAATTGTCGATGAACGGCGCCGCCAAACTCACAAAGGATGCCTCTCCCACACCGACAAACATCCTACACACTGCCAGGAAGTAAAACCCTGGGGCTACCCCACATCCAAGCACTGCTAGTGTCCATACCCCAAGCCCTATGCCTATCAATCGGAACGGGTTCCAAGTCTTCGAGAGCTCTGCGAATAGAGGGGAGGCTACCAGAAGGCCAACCATAAAGGCTGATGGCAGCAACCCATCCTGTGCATCGGATAGATCGAAATCGCCTTGAATACCTAAGGGAGCTTGACAAATGATATGCGAATCCTGCGTGCAATTGCCACGCACGCCGTTCACACCATTGCTGGCAATGACCCCCCTGTCCACGTAATTAATCAGGTTGATGACGCAGAAAATCACGAGCAACCTCTTGGGGGTCATCCAACCCCAGTTCTCCTCCTCGTTTGACATCATGGCCTTCTAAAATAAACTCTTTGAGCTATGTAGGCAGGCTGGCTGACTGGCGAATCGCTTAGCAAAGCCAGCATCAGCAACAACACCACAAGAGAGGTGCTTGCCACACAAACGTTGAGTGTTGGTCAGGCACAACTTCTACGCATGCATGCATGCATGCGGAGAAGGGTTGTTTCCGCAGCCGAAAGGGACTGGACTTTACCTTCCTTCAAATCACACAAACACAGTGATTTTTTTTGTGTTTTGCCAATTGCCAATTGCTACGGTAGTAACACACGCAAGCGCCGAATCAACCTGGCAAAAAGGAAAAAAGGAAAAAGAGAAGTCAGAAATCCACATGAAAGGAGACAGGTTCAGCAGAGCCCATGACATTGCACCGGAATGGTACATACATATAACTGTTAATCAACACGGCATGAGTACGAATCTTGAGCATTCTGATCGATACAATAAGGTTACGGGCATTCTGATTGATACAATAAGGTTACCGGCTACCCCCTTTCCAAACCAAGAAAGGAGACAGGTACATAAATCTAATTGTTAATCAACAGGTCATGAGTACGACTCTTGAGCATTCTGATCGATACAATAAGGTTACGCACGTTGTGTTTGATACGATAAGGTTACGCGCATGTTGATTGATACGGTAAGGTTACGGGCTACCCCCTTTCGAACCAAGAAAGGAGACAGGTTCACACTGGGGATGATCAAACGCCGCCTTTTTTTGTATGATGGGTGGGTGAAATTGACTACAGGAACTGCCGCTGAATAGAACCGGGTTCGAGAGGGAGATTCAAGACAAAAGAACAAAACCACAAGAGAGAGAGAGAGAGAGAGAGAGAGAGAGAGAGAGAGAGAGAGAGAGAGAGAGAGAGAGAGAGAGAGAGGAACACGGATTGAAACCAGCATTGGAATGTCTTTGGCCAAGTCAAAGTTCAACGGTCAAAACTCGGTTCTAGGGCCTCCAAACATTCTCAGAAAGTGCATAGGTGAGTAGACCTGGAGACAAGTGTGAAATCAAGGTGCCCAAGACCTCTAGAAGTCAACAATGGGCTCCAGAAAAGTCACTGGTCAGGGCCTGCCCGGGTCCGGAGTCAAAAAGTCAAAAACTTTTTTAGGAGTCCACCACAGCCACAGATCAAACACGATCCAAAGGCTTGGCCCAGCTATCGGCCGCGGCGCTTCCCCGTTAACGCGCTGCGCCTTTAGGGCTTCGGGGTACCGGACCACAATGGCTGCCAGCGCCAGCCAAAAAGAAAAACGAAATGGTACCCCGGCGCTTCGGCAAAAATTGGCACACAGGGGCATTCCAGGCTCGGCATCGATAGCTGGGCCAAGTAAACCACCAGCACTTTCTAGAGCCGTGCCCGTTAACGCGCCAAGATTTTAGGAAACGTACCGGCTACTACAGGAACGCCCAAATTCATCCGACAAGAAACGTTTCTACTCTATTTTTTTCCGCGGCGGATAGCTCGGCCGCCAAGGACTGGTGGTTTAAAATCTGCTTACCCATTCATCCGCATTCAGGGACTACTGAGTCAAAAGCACATTCAGGCCGTGATCAACCAAATCTGGGCCATACCCATCAAGAATTCTCAGCCATTGGGATTCCACAACAGACTGAAGGGGGTTTGTTAAGTGGCCAAGATCGAGAATTCTCAGCCATTCCAGATTGGACAGAAGATTTCAACTGGGTTGGACTACTTAGCTAGCCTTTTCAACGGAACAAGTCCAACTAGTCCACCCACCGCGGCTACACCCGCAGTGCAGCACTGGTGAGAGACCCTTCTTACGTACAGCAGCCACCCCAGTTCGCTAATTCAGACAGTTCAGGCAGCAGTTACACAGATTCACTACTACGGTGAGTAACCTCAGTAAAACTTCACCACTCCGGTCAGTGACCACAGTAAAACCCCACTTCTGCCAGCTCTCTTAGATGCTGCAGTTAACCCGACATCACTTCATTCACCTAATCATGGCGGGATTTGAACTTAGGTGTGTGTATCAGCAGGACATGGGGGTATCATTCAGCCACATGGGCCGAGCATTCTATCGTTTTCTTAGACACTGCAGGTACCAGGATTTGCAAACTCAGATACTTCAGCAGTTAGCCCACTTAGCATTCTCTCTCTCTCTCTCTCTCTCTCTCTCTCTCTCTCTCTCTCTCTCTCTCTCTCTC